AGGGAAAGCTTTTAAAGGATAGACAAGTAACATCCTATATGGTGAATATACTTGTAAATATAAATTATACTATAAATATATATACTATAAATTATTAGGTGTTTTTTGTAGATGGTTTGTTCTATCTTCTGAATGATTGGGGATTACTATTTAGTTGTAACTGGTTGTGGTCTAGTTATTCACTGGAATTACTCAGGAATCGGAGACGGATCCGATCGCCAGGGTTATATGGCCACCTACTAAGTGACATGCGTTTTGCAACATCTCATGTTAACATCTTATGTTACCCAGAAAAAAAACTCTACCAGAAACCCTGGTGAATTTGGAATTATAAAGTTACCAGTAGTACCGCACAAGGCGGTGGCGGAAGTTTCAAAAATAGGAAACCTATAGGGGAGATTGGTTGGTGTGAATCAGGGATGGCAGAGCGAAACGACTGATGGACCGAAAGGTGCTTGAGGTCTCCTCTCTTTCTCTCTCTGTCTCTGACTATCTACCTACCTACCTACCAATCTATCTATCTATAAATGTATCTATCTATCTATCGATCTATCTCTCTCTCTCTCTCTTTCATCTGTCTATCTGTCTAGCTGTCTACCAGTCTATCTGTCTACCTATCTATCTATCTATCTATCTAGCTATCTATCTTTCTATCTATCTATCTATCTGTTTGTCTGTCTGTCTATCTGTCTACCTGTCTATCTATGGTGCAGTGTCATTCAGTTTAATGTAGTGTAGTGTACTGTAGTGTAGTGTAGTGGAGAGTAGTGGAATGTAGTGTAGTGCAGTGTAATGTAGTGTAGTGTAGTGCAATTTAGCGTAGTGTAAATTAGGGTAGTGGAGTGTAGTGGAGTGTAGTGGAGTGTAGTTGTAGTTGTAGTTGCAATGTAATTGAATGTAGTGTAGTGCAATGTAGTGAAGTGTAGTGGAAGGTAGTGTAGTGTAGTAGTGTAGTGGAGCGTAGTGTAGTGTCATGTACTGTAGTGTAGTGTAATTTACTGCAGTGGAGTGTAGTGGAATGTAGTTGGGTAGTTGTAGTGTGGCGGGATGTAGTGTAGGGTAATGTAGTGTAGTGTAATGTAGTGTAGTGGAGTGTAGTGGAGTGTAGTGGAGTGTAGTTGTGTAGGTGTAGTTGTAGTTTTGTGTAGTGCCAGTGCAGTGTACTGTAATGTAGTGAAGTGTAGTGGGAGTAGTGTAGTGCAGTGTAATGTAGTGTAGTGTAGTGGAGCGTAGTGTAGCGTAATGTGATGTAGTGCCGTTTAATTCTGTGTAACTGAGTGCAGTGTAGTGTAGTGTAGTGGGGTGTAGTTATGTAATTGCAGTTGTAGTTGTAGTGTAGTGGAGTGTAGTGTAATGTAGTGAAGTGTAGCGGAAGGTAGTGTAATGTAGTGCAGTGGTGTCTACCTGTCTATCTGTGTTGCAGTGTCATTCAGTGTAATGTAGTGTGGTGTAGTGTAATTTAGTGTAGTGGAGTGTACTGGAGTAATGTACTGTAATGTAGTGTGACTTCGAAGTGTACTTCGCGCCACAACGGCGTGCACTTTTTCAACATCTCAACTTCCAAAAGTGGTCCGAGCATGGTGTGTTTTGTACATTTTGACTTGGAAATGTGCTTCGCGCCACAACGGCGTGCACTTTTTCAACATCCAACTTCCAAAAGTGGTCCGAACCCCTAGTGTTTTGTACATTTTGACTTGGAAATGTGCTTCGCGCCACAACGGCGTGCACTTTTTCGACATCTTAACTTCCAAAAGTGGTCCGAGCATGGTGTGTTTTGTACATTTTCACTTGGAAATGTGCTTCGCGCCACAACGGCGTGCACTTTTTCGACATCCCAACTTCCAAAAGTGGTCCGACAATGGTGTGTTTTGTACATTTTGACTTCGAAATGTGCTTCGGCGTGCACTTTTTCGACATCTCAAAGTGGTCCGACAATGGTGTGTTTTGTACATTTTGACTTCGAAATGTGCTTCGCGCCACAACGGCGTGCAATTGTTCATCTCTCATCTGGCCAGCTGGCTCCGCACCTGCCGCTTTAGCGAGCCTACTTTTCGACCCTCCGGAGCCCCAAATCATTGGAAAAACATAATGTTTCGCGACTTTCCTACCTTTTCGCGCATCTGCATCTTCTTTCTTCTGACTCTTTCTCTTCTCTGATCTTCTCTCTTCTAATCTTTCTCTTCTCTCTGCCTCTGCCCTGCTCTGCTTTTCATCTGTCCATATTGTCGGAAGTTTGACTTCTAAACTTCCTTCGATAAACGCAGCTGCTTCGCAAAATATGGATAAGAATCAGCAATCCAAAGTGCAACAAAAAGCCATCCCCGGGAGGATGTTACTTGCAATAACCCGCAAAGATAGAAAAGGAAACAATCACTATGTCACTATGTTTTGGATCGGGTTTGCTTTTCTACCTTTTTGATGATTGCCATAGATCCTTTGGTTTTTGATGTTCATGTGTCTTATCATGTTTATCTGGTTGGTTGTTTGGAACATGTTTTATTTTTCCATATATTGGGAATAATCATCCCATTTGACTAATATTTTTCAGGGGGGGTTGAAACTTTCAACCACCAATCAGTTAATTTTCATATTCTCATCATTTTTCATCACGCATGCTCCTTTCTTTAGTGACATGCTAGTCATCCGCTGGCTTGGGATGGCGGGATGCCCAAAAAATCCCGGCCCATTTTGTGATACGGCTATTTGATGGTGGCGAAATCCGCAAGTTTCCACCAAAAGGAAGGATGGTTGAAAGCCAAACAAAATCATGGGATGTTTACATATATATATATATATCACCATCTATCAACTGGTGATTTGGATTTCGCAAGCATCCTAGCCGTATGGGAAGCCAGTTCCGCTTCCTTCAGGCCATCAGTGATTTGGTGACGTTGTTTGATCTCCGTGCAGTTCACCAGGAAGCCGCAGGAGCATGGGAGAACTGCCAGAACTGGGGATGGTTTAGACCAGCCATAAAAATGGTGATTTTGGGGTTGTTTACTTTACTAATTATTGGGTTTACAACATTGATAGCTATTTAAGCATCAAGATAGCTAAGATATGCTAAGATGGGATTTAGCAACACCAGGTGGAATTAGTGACAACGTCAAAGTTGGGAGGTATTCCGCTCAAACCCCGTGTGGTTGCTCAATTCACAGCTATGTGATGCCAACACATGGTGTCGTATAGCCAAGTGGGGATATCCAACTGATGCATAAAAACACCCAGGCCCATGCTCATCAATTGTGATAATAGCAATTCTGAATATTGCAATAATAACACAATGCTCCGTAGTATTCATGGGATGATCAAATAATTTTAGCTAATGTGGCTGGTAGTTTCAGCTCATTCTATTTTCACAGTTGAGATACTGAGACTGGTGTTTTTTTTAGGGGTGACACCACCAATCATGGGATGCTGAGAGGTTACCCTGACGGACCTCACGGCGCTTGCAGATGAATGTCCTGTAAATGTACATACGCACGTTGTGTGTACATACACATTATTATCAGGAAAAACATGGATAAACTGTATGTTTAAATGTGATGAAATGTAATGTACTATTGGTGTGTTGATGTGATGTGATGTGAGGTGAGGTGATGTGATCATATGTATGTATATATGTATATATATAATATACATTAAATGCATCGCCCATGTTCCCGGTGATCATCCCTTCATGTAGGATCTTTGGATACGTGGCCAGCTAGTGCGCAACTCTGTCGCCAGCTTTTTGTTCAGTCTTGATTCTTGGCGGCCGAGTTTGTCCGGTAGTTCCTAGCAAATATATGAAGTTAATCATCAAAAACCATTAACGATGTTTTAATTGCCGGGTTTCTGGCCATTTCTACATCATCGAATATATCACTATATAGGTATATCCATGATTGGGCAATTCATCAGCCAGGGATTTGGGGCTGTTCGATGGTGGTGTTTGAGGAGCGCGCATGAAATCTCAAGCTGATATCCAAGAGTACATAGACGAATATATATATATATACACACACAGATGTTTATATATGCGTGCATATATGCGCCCAATTAATATATATATATATAATGTAATAATTATAATAATATATAATATAAAATATATGTATATATTTAGATATAGATATGCACATATGTATACATGCATTAAAAAGTATACATAATTATATATTAATACATATATGCATATGATTGCATATGTATTTGCATGCAGTACTCATGTTTCTTTTGGGTGTCCTGAGACAGAATTTTGTGTTTCCAGGATGGTCCAGTTATCACACCACGGAGTCACACCCAGGTCGCGACACCAGACCTGTTCTGTTGGAATTGATGCCTGGCCTAGCCGTGCTGTGCCATTCAGTGAGGATCATGAAAAAAAACCTAAGAACTATAGTAACTATAGTGAAGATAGTGAAGGAATTAGCCATCAAGATATCCATTTTCGCTAACTTCCGATTCATTTAAGTCAAGACTGAAGTCGATGGGCTTGCAACATTTTGCACCTTTTCTGCCACTTGTCCATTGGACAACATTCAACTCTAGTTTGTCGGAGCTAACTGTTCTTTTTCCAAGTTTCCCATCATTTTGATTTATCACAAATCAACATGAATCATGGCATAAAACTCCTTAAACATGTTGAACGCATCTCCCCGGCATTTTGAAAAAACAACAACATACAAAGTTAGATTTTTGTAAAGACAAAGAAAAAAATCCCCATTGGTTTGCAGGTTGCGCTAGAGAACTGTAAGCCCAACAATTCACAACTCCCAATGTCTCACCAGAAATGGGTGGGTATTAACCATCCAAAATTGGAGGTTCATGGAATTGGCTTTTCCATTCTGAATTGATGAAATCCCTATTGTTGACCATGTTGAATCATGTTGAATCTGCATCTTGAAATATTATACATACATACATATATATATATATTGATTGAATCACATGAAACCCCCGGTTTGGCAGGTTAAGTTAAGTCACCAACAACTACAAGATTCCACGGTTTTTGCCCC